AAAAGAGTTAAACCCTTGAATGTGGATCCATCCCTTGGAGTCTGGTCAACTTACCTGGCATTACATCATACCCTTAAAGAAAACTGACTCTCCCTCTCCCAGTAGCTATCAATTGTCAGTCTATCTTGGTCTATAACTTTCACCCTGCACACACAAAAATATCAAAATGGATCAAAGACCTTCATTTAAGACCTGAAACTTTGAAACTTATAAAGGAAACCACTGGAAAAAAAACACTTTAAGATATAGGCATACCACTTCACAAGATGGAGCACATACCTGGCACTGTCATCAGGGACAAGAACCTGTGACTAGACAGGTCACAGGCCATAAAGTAGATCCTACTACTGTTATTCTGATAAAGAGATATAGTATTAAACCAACTCCTAATGATTTATTGTTATAGATTAGTGCATCTCTCAGTTCTCACAGAGAAGCTCCAGATGATGATTAACACAGAGACCCATAACTAGTCAGCATGCAGAGAATAAGAAGCTGCAGAGTGCTCAGCCCAGAATGGGCAGCTATATCACACCCTCTCCTCTCAAGGCTCAGGGATCGTTGCAGAAGAGGGGCAGGAAGACTGTAAGAGCCAGAGGTGGTAGATGAATACAAGGAAACTGTGCTGTCGAATACCACAGGGCAGTTGTACACATGAACACACAGTGCTTATGACAGCATGCACAAGACGTGTGCAAGTCCAAGCCAGACAAAAACCCAGCATGGATGGAAGAGATGGGCAAAAGTCCCAGCCCTAGCTGAGGATCTTTTAGCAATTGATAGCTGCTGGGAGAAGGAGAGTCAGTTTTCTTTAAGGGTGTGATGCAGGGAGGTTGACCAGACTCCAAGGGATGGATCCACACTCAAGAGCATTTGAGAAACACAGATTAGACTCAATAGACCTTTAAAAAGGAAAAATAATAATACAGGACATGAAGTCAGGTGGTAATAAGGTGGGGTGACAATGGGGGACGTGGTCTGAATATGATCAAAATACATTGTATGAAATTCTCAAAGAATCAGTAAAAATATTTTTAAGTTAAAAAAGAGCAAAAAAGATAGACAAGGATTTCAAAAGCAAATTAATGATCCTAAGAATTGACAAAGAGGATTACATGAAAGTAAGAGATTTGCATAGCAATGGAGACATGAGCTGAGTGAAGAGATGGCCAAAGAAAGTCTCACCAACTGCATATCAGACAAAGAATTAATACAGAAGGATATGCATAAACGAAACAGCAAAAAACCTAAAACACATAACCCAATCAATAAGCCCAAAGAGCTGAATAGACAGTTCCCAGAAGGATAAATACAAAAGACCAATAAATGCTTGGAAAAGTGTTCAGTGTCCTTAAACTTAAGAAACGCACATTAAAACTGGTTTGAATTTCTATCTGACCTCAGCTGGAAGGAGTATGATTAAGAAAACAAATGACGATAAATGGTGGAGGGAAGGATGGGAAAAGGGACCCTTATTCACTACTTATGAGAATGTAAACTTGTGAGGTCACTAGGGAAGTCAGTATGAAAGATTCTCAAAAAACTGACAATAGAACTACCTTATGACCCAGCTATACCATTCTCCAGTATATGCCCAAAGGACTCTAAGTCAACATACAAAAGAAATCCTTGTATGTCCATGTTTATTGTAGCACTGTTCACAATAGCTAAGAAATGGAGACCATCTAAATGTCCATCAGCAGATTTTAAGGATAAAGAAAGTGTGGCATATATACACAATAGAATTTTATGCAGTCATAAAGGAAAATGAAATCATGACATTTTCAGGAAAATGACTGCAACTGAAAATCATTATGCTAAGCAAAATCAGCAGAGTCAGAAAGAGAAATACTCCGCATTTTCTCTCATATATAGAACATAGTTTTGAAATTATTTATATGTATACAGATATGTATGTGTTTATATTTGGATGTGCTACAGGTCACAAAACAAGAAAACAAATCTGAGACGGGAGGAAGAGCTCTTACTGGAGGTGAGAAATAGATAGGGTAGTGGAATGCTTATAGTAAGCAAACAGAAGGGGTGATTAACTGGGGGAAGAAAAGGAACCGGCTGGGGCATAGGGAAGGGACACAGAAGGCAGTGAGAAAAAAACGAAAAGAAATTATAATGGCACAGATGTATGAAGAATCACCATAAAACCCATTACTTTGGGGACTGGAGAAATGTCTCAGTAGTTAAGAGTGCTTGATGCTCTTGCAAAGGACCTGAGCTTGGTTCCCAGCACCCATGGTGTGTATCTCATAATTGCCTTAACTCTAACTCCAGGGTATCTGATGCCCTCTTCTAGCCTCCTTGGCCTCATGTTCATAGACACACACACAAACACACACACACACACACACACACACACACACACAATTTCAATTTTAAAAAAATCTTTTAAAAAACATTGTATGTGAACTCAGATTTCAGTCAGCTTGTCTTAATTTTTCTGCCATACTCCACAACAGTCACCCCTGACTCCTCAAGTTCACTGAATCTGCTCACTCCTTGTTTCCCTCTTTTCTGGTTTCTGGTCTCTTTCTCTCTCTCTCTCTTTCTTTGCCAAGCTCCTCTTCCCCTTTCTATACCTAAAACATTACTGTCCTGTCACCGTCCATCCCTAGTCTTCCCTTGCTGGCTACTCCCCCCCTCCCATTTCCTAAAACTTGAATGATGATGATCCATGATTCCAACCTGACCTGCCTTCAGAAACCCACAATCTCTTATGTGGTTACACAGTACTGCATTCAAATATCACCAGCACCCCTAACACCACATCTGTAAAGCAGAATATTTTATACACATCTGACTTTCTGTGTGCTGTTTCACTTGGCTAATGGTCTGCCTTGTTGTGCCAACCAGAAAACTTAGAGACAGCCTAAACCCTCTTCCTCAGCCTTCTATTAAGTCCAAGCTAATCCCTATCTATGCAGATTCCTAAGTATCTCCGAAACTGTCCCAGCCTCCCAAAGTACTTCTGCAGCCCTCTTTGGTTAGCACCTAATCTCCCCCTCCCCGAAATATTTTCCTGACTCTTAGCTCATTCCTATTTGTCTCCCACAGAAATGTTAAAGGAAACTTTCTAAAACACATACGTGATAACACTTAGAAAACCTTAAGATCTGTCGTTGCTTAACACCTTTAGCAATTTTCCAAACTGCAGCCACCTTCAGAAAGTTCTGTTTCCCTGGGCCCGGGAGCCTGGTGCAGCTCACTTTGCCTGCAATCCAGTCACACCTAACTTTTCCCCATTCCCAGGGCACCTCTGTACTTTGTCGCTCTCCTGACCTCTTCACTTACTTCTGTTTGTAGAATGCCCACCCCTCCCTCATCCTTGTTTGCTTATTTTCTTCCTTGTCCTTCAGAGTTTGGCACTGATCTGAGCACCTTCTAGGCCTTCTGCCGGCATTTACAAAACGATGTTGTGGCATGGAAACCATTTCACAAACCCACCTACAGTAGCATTCTCATTTACAACCGCTGAAACTTTGGGAGTTTGACTGTGTTGCCTTCTGCCAGATGCTATTTAAAGGTATTTAACAGAAAGTTCATAATTCTTAACAGGATCTCAGTAAAGCTGACTTTCGCCTTATGTTTGCCTTGGTGACTCAGTAGGGAAGAGGACAAGGGTTTTTGGGCTTTTAATGTTGACACTATATTTTAATAAGCACTAGACGGGTATATGCATAGAGTTTAATACCCGAAAAGCCAGAGTCTGAAGAAGGAAAAAACATTTTACTGGAGACCACGGTCCCAAATGAGAAAATGAGATCTCTAAATATCACTCCGTACTTTTTCTTCTCTTTCCTTCATTTTGCTAGGTTCAGACCAGGATGCTAATTAGATAACTTCCTATCATAATTACCTGGCCCTCCTTCACGGCTTCACACTTTCTGCTCTGTTCTGCTCCATCTCACTGGTCCTGTACGGCCACTTTTCAATTGTTAAAACAGCTGCTGAGTTTCAAGCTGGAGGAGGCTGGGTTCTCAGGCCGATGGGGTGGGGGAGCGGTCCCCGAGTGAAGGAAGGCTGGGGTAGACAGGCGCTGGCTGACAAGTGAGGTATGAACGCACGGCTTGCGCTCTGCTTTCGGCCTCCAACCTCCAGCCTTCTGGATTGAGCCTCTTTCCCGACCCCCACCCCCACCCCCCACCCCCGTTCTTTCCATTGTGCTCCCTTGTCCTCTGACCGTGTGACGGTCTCTCGTGCGCCTGGTCAGGTCTTGCCATTTTGCCAGGGTCTTAGTGGCCTCCTGGTGGCAGGGACTCGAAGAGAGCAATATGTCCCCACCCCAGAGTCTTGAGGAGCTCTGGGTCGCTAGGCAGGGTCTGTGCGTGTGGGAGCGAGAGGCAGAGAGGGAAAAAGGGTGTGCACGTGTGTGTCTGCGTGTGTACATGTGCGTGTGTGCATGTGCTTATGTGCGCGCGTGTGTACTGTGTGTGTGTGTGTGTGTGTGTGTGTGTGTGTGTGTGTGGTGCACGCTGGCGCGCAGCGGGAGAGAGGGCGCGAGGGGCGGAGGGGGAACCGCGGGCAGAGGGAGGCGGGGCGGGCAGCGCCGGGCGGGCTGGGAGGGGCAGAGGCTCCGGCTTCTGCAGTGACACTCCGAAGCCAGCGCGCACTCCGGCCCGGATTCGCAAGAGAGCGGAGCAAACCCAGAAGCTCACCAGTCGCCGCTTCTGCCGCCCGGTGCGCGCCGGGCTCTGCCCGCGCCCTGCAGCCCGCGCCGGTGCTCCCAGAGCCCGCTCAGCACCAGCTACGCGAGCCCTGCAGCATCCTCCAGCCACCCGGCGCCCGCAGCTCCCCTCCGCCTCCCCGCGTTGTCCCGGGACCCCGGCCCTGCGCCGCTCGCTGCCCGCGCCACTTCGCAGCAACTTCAGCGGCCGCGCGCCGCCAGCCTCCCGCCCGCCTTGGAAGTTTGCAGCGCCCGCCGCAAAGTTGGGACACTTGGGCTCCCTCAATTTCGCTCCTCCCTGTCTCTGTCTCATCTCTTCAGTCCCCTCGGTTCCCCGATCCCGGTGCTCAGCATTTTGGCCGCATCCCGGGACGTGGACTTTTGCCGCATCACACACCTCGAGGGAACATCGTCCCTCTTCCCGCAGGAGAAGCACGCAGACCTTCTTGAAGGTAAGGAGCGGGGAAAGCAGCCCTGGACTCCCCGACGCCTGAGGTCGGCGGAGCAGACCTGGCCGGAGCGTGTCTGCATACCCCGCTGCTCCCCAGCGGGTGAGGCGCGAGCCCATGCTGCGCAAGGCCGGCGGGGTCCCCGAGGGCGCGGCCTTGGGCAGATCTCCCGCGGCGGGTGCGTGGCTGGGCGGCCCTGGCGGAGTTAGGCGGGAGCCGGAGCGGGAAGGGCGGGGGAGATGGACACTGGGCGCGCGGCTTGCGGCGCGTCCCGGGGAGCACAGGCTTCTCCTCGCTCGGCCTGAACACACTCTGAGCTCCGGGTGGGCTATTGCGCCCCTTCCTGGGTTCGCTTTCCTCCTGCTGCCGCTAGATCTGCGGGACTGTGTTGCGGGGCGCCCTCGTGGGTCAGAGCGGCTGGCAGGACTCGCGCGCGGGGAGCGCGGAGACCTGTGCGCGGGGACTGCCGGGGCGCGCAGAGGTGGCGCAGAACTCCCGGCCTTGCGCGGCGACCCTCGCCTCTTCTTCCTCATTTGTGCCCGGCGGAGCGGCGGGCCGCGGTAGGGAAATTTCCCTCGGCTGGGTGGTCTGGATACGCGCGCACTTTCGCCGGCAGAGAGGAGCAGAGCATCGCCCCAGCCGACCGCCCTCCCGCCGTAGCGGCCATAGATGTGGTGACCTCTAGGGTCGGTGCCGCCAGCCGGGTTCGCCTTACTGTGCGCCCGGGGTTCTTCTCCCGGAGTCATCGCTGTCCCGACACTGCGATCCTGCTGTTCTTCGGGGCGCTTCAGAAACTGTTGGATACTGGGTACCTTTTGGTTTCCTTGTTCCGGCTTCGTTTCCACTCCTTCCCGGCAATCGGTCCCAGGCCGAAGCGTGAGAGCCTCCCAAGCCTGCAGCAGGAGCTGCGCGGGTGGCCGAGGTCCCGGTAGGTGACCTGGCACCTCGGCGTTGGCGCTGCACGCCCCCCGCCCCCACAGCCCCCAGCAGGTTGCGGCTCTCCTCCCAGACCCTTCCGGGCGCTGTCCATCTCTGGGAACCGTTAGCTCCTTGAAAAGTAAACCTTGAGCTGGAAATCAATCCTAGCAAGGGCTCTGGTTTTGAGTTTTACCAAGTTCTTTTAAGTGACTTAGTTGGGCTGGTAAATTTGTTTCCTTCTCTTCTTTCAACCCGGCTAAATCACAGGGAAGAATTTATTTTCATTTGGTTGCTCATCTCCGAAAACACACTATCTTCCCATTCCTCCCCTATCCTCCTCCTGCTTTGCTTCCTGAACCCTTTTTCTGTTCTGAAGGAGGGGAACTCTGCGCCTCCCCGGTCTCCTCCCACCTGGTCCCTGAGCACCTGTGAGAACCAGGGGAGTCATCGATGGAAAGAAATAGGACCCCCTCGCCATTCTCTGCCCCCTTCAAATAAGTAAAACCCTCCCTGGGCTAACAGAAGTAGAGATAAAACATCCCTCCGTTTGCCTCCCTCTCCCCTCAGCGCTTGCTGAGGATTCCATTATTATCCTGAAAGAGAGATGGATGGATGCAAGGGGGAATGCGCACACAGAGCAAAGTGTGCTGAGGGCGGTCAATATTTGTTATTATTCATTATTACTTATTAAGAGTGCTAATAAGGCTGTCACCCTAGCTGAGCACTGTGTTCACGCCAGCTAGATTTTATGTCAGTCTCTTATTACAGTGGTTTCGGAAAGGGCCAACACCATAACAGTATTCATTCCTCACACTCATTCTGCATATGGGATTAATCAACTGTCGAAAGAGATACTGTCATTTTACCAGTTTTAACTCATGAACTTGTCTAAAACTGCAGCCTCTGAAATGGCTTGTGCTCTGTCTTCTAAAGTTTTAAAAAACTTGGTAACATAATTAATTATGGTCCCAATTCCCATTTTCAATCTAAACCTATAGTCAAGATTATATTAAAATATCCCAACATTCATTCTCTAATAGTGACTCTTAGGATATTACATTCCAGTTGAGGGGGCAGTGAGAGGGACAACTGGGAATGAGGGGGTTCAAAAGTTAGTATGATTTCAAATTTCTATCAAAAATGTGTATTCCTGGGGTCAGAGAGATGGCTCAGCAGTTAAGAGCTCTTGCTGCTCTTGCAGAACACAACAGTCTGGTTTCCAGCACCTACACCAAAGCTCACAATTCTCCTTAACTCCAGCTCCAAGGGATCTGATGTCTCTGGTCTCCTGGGGCATTTGCACTCAAGTGCACAAAGCCACACAGCAGCACACACATCAATAAAACCCCTCTTCTTCCTTTAAAGAAAGATATCACTCATTTGTTTTCTGCACAGCTCTTTAGCGACTGTCCTTAATCTTCACACAGTTGAACCCTAACAGCATGAGCCTTTTCTGTATTCCTGTTTCATTTTTGTGTCAGGGTCTTTTATTCATTAAGCTTTATGTCAAAGACTCAGGCTCATGGCGGCAGTACTGTTTTAATTAGTAACTGTCGTAAAAAAGAAGCTAGAATTCTGTAATGGGCCTAAATTGCTATGAATTATATGTGGTTTAAATTACGCATTTATTTCAGTAGAAACAAAACCATCTTTTAATCACTTGCGCATACCGCTTTTATCTCTGAAAATATATAATTGCAAACCATCCTTGTATGAATGAGGAAAGCCCCCCCCTTTAGTTTTTTTTTTTTTTTTCCTGGCTCTTGCTTAGCATTCGTATGGTCAGGTATGGGTGTCAGCAGACTCAGGTCACAACTTTGCCTGCATGGTACTGGGGAACACAGCATCCCAACCAGCTGTCACAGGTTGATCCTCAGGTCTCTTGGAGGCTTCTTCAGTTGGCATCATGAACTTGGCCGCTCTGACATTTGGTTTTCTAACTTGAATTTATCAACCAGACTCTGCATGTGGTAGTGGGAAACACATGCTTTTAAACTCTAACAAGTTACTTGAAATTAAGGAAAAGCAGTTGCCTTTCTGTATCAATTTCTTAGCAGCTCTGTTGTCCAACTAGAGATCAGAACATGTTATTTTAAAGCTAAATGTTTTATTGTCTTTTTTCCTTTTTTTCTTTCTAGTCATTGTTATGAGAATGCAAACAAGTTTCCATCAAGTACTTATGGGAATACTATATATATATATTTATATATATATAATTTTTTACCTTGACATAAGGTACAAATCCTGAAGTGATTATCAGATAGCATAGTATGTGAATTGCACATGATTAGCACAGATTCTAATTATTTTAATGGCTCTTCCTCAGTTTCCCAGTGAAAACGTGGTTAATTCTAGTGACAAAGCAGTATGCTCTGTTAGGAGTTTTCTTTTTCTTCCTGTCTTCTTGTCTGTTCTTGCTTTGGTGGCGGGGGGGGCAGGGCATACATGCTCGCAGTTAAGGAAAGTTCTCTCCTAATTATCAGGAAGAACTAACATGGCACAGTCAACTGTGTGGGTTCGAAGGCCAGCAGAACCAACTCAAAATGGTTCCATGACTCACCCTCCTTGACATCATTTCTATGATTTCTAAATGTTTCTTTAGAATGATTATTCTGAAAAGTAGAATTTATCCTTCCCCTGTTGGTTCATTCACTGACTAGAAGACACGCCACAGTTGAATTGTTTAAAAGTAAACTACACTAAATCTTTGCTTTGGAAACTGATTTTAAAACCAAACTATTCTAGTATTTAAATACTTTCTTCGAAATACTTTGTATTTTATTTCCTGTAGTTAGGATATATTATATCCCCCGTATTGCAAATGATTAAACAAAATGATAGCTAAAATATGCAGAGTCTTGCTTCCATATTAATTTCTATCTAGAAAGCAAAAGTAAATAGGGGAAAAGAATATTTTGCTGTGTCACGCAGTTGTGTTGGCCGTGGATTCAGTTAGATTCGGGGGAGGGGCACACCATTTCAGTCTCTGTGTTTGCAGATTGTTGTATCTCTTCAGAGATGACACCTGACATTTGCCCATAGGTGCTCAAAGCAGGTCTGTTCTAAACTGCTCACTTAATAAACACTAACTGTAAAGAGATATCTATACCTTCCTTCTTCTTTTTGATATCTTACTAAAATCTGCAAACCACCAAATCCACAACTTTTACTCTTTAGAAATATTTTGAAAACATAAATTATATAAGATAATATACATTTACCCTCAAATAAAAAATGTTGCTTGTTTTACATTTTAAAATTGAGAGCATTGAGTGAAATGGAGTGCAGGCAGGAAAGAGCACAGTTCCATAGACTTGTACTTTCAGGATGAAGACGCAGATCTTCCATTGGGTCTCATACATTTCATTTTATACTGGGCCTCAAAAATTCACCTTGGTATGTTGCCTTGTTGTGAATTTAAGACATAATTCTGATGTCCAAGAATTAAACAGGCTAAAATTTCTTCAAGTTAGGCCCAGTGAATATTTGCATTTAAAAAAACTTGATTTTTAAGTAAAGTAAAAGACACAAATATTCCTTTCCAGAACTGGTATAACAGTTTCCCAGTGTCTCTAAAACCAGACTGACTTTACTCTTTGCAATAATCTTAACCTTAGAATGCAGAGGTCACTAAAGAGGAGTGCTCTTTTGTATCCTTTGTAAAACACAAATGCCTTTTTATGATGTAAAAAGAAACAATCAAAGATCTATTTAAATTTGTTCCTATGTATAAAGATATGTTTTGAATATTTGTTAATTCACAAATGAAGAAAAGCACTTAGCATCTCAGGTGATCATTGAACCAGCACAGTCTGACAAAGATACTGATCTTTCTGAACTAAGACACAAGATAAATTAATGACAGGCTAAGTAGCCCTGTCCACACACCGCCCTTGACATTGACTAGAGAAAGATTTCAAATGCATAGTTAGACCCATTATAATGACTATGATACTCAGTTCACTATAGAGTGCTATGTTACAAAATACATTATATAAAACAGCACAATACAATAATAAAAGGTTTGGAGTCCAACATACAGACAACAAATTATAAGATGAGGGGTATTAAAAGAAGTGAATAAG